TCAAGTCGGTCCTGCCGCCGCCGCCGCACGCATGCGCTCAGGAGAGCGGCGTCGCTCCCGCGCAGCCGCACTGGGGCCTCGCCGGAAAAGGACTACAAGTCCCGGCATGCAGCGCGCTCCCGCCTGTGCCTTTTCAAACACGCGTGATCCCGCTTTAAATTCGCAGCAAAGTTAACGATTCTGAGGTTTTTAGGGTTCCTCTTGCCCCCTTACCTACTCCCTGATAGATATATTTGTATCCCTGTTTAATCGAAGACAGAAACCAACGCTACCCTTCCAAAACCCAGCTCCCCAGCAGTCGACTGCCTGGTTTCCTGGGGTTGCAGCTCACCGCTCAGCCCCGCCCTTGGAGCAGGAGGCCCCGGGCTTCTTGCTGGACAAGGGCCCGCTGGTGAGCGCGGCCAGCCAAGGGCTGGGGGTTTGGGGGAGGGGTGCTGAGGAGGGGTCTGGAGATTTTGTTAAATAAACAAGTTGTTTTTAAAAGAGACTATATACACATGATTATAGATGCAAAAAATACAAAAGATACAGAGTGAAGAAGTAAATTCCTTATTCCCCACCCTTCACTCCCCTGCCTTTACCCGCAGGGGCAGCAGCTTCCAGCTGAAGAACGCAGCGGTGAGCTGGCAGCCACGGCCAAGACCCTGGAGAAGGGCCCTGGGCTAGGGGAGGTTTGGGCTGATTCACTAATCTTTTGTGAATTTACAATGATCTCAAAAAGTTTAAAAACAAAACATTTTAAAGATAACACACAGGCTTGGTAATAAATGTAAAAAGTACAAAAAACAGAGTGAAAAGTAAGTTTCCCTCCCTCGCTGGTCCCCAAATTCCCCTTCAGAAAAGTATCGTTAAACTACCTGTGGGCCTCCCAGAAACAGTGTAAGAGTAAATAGGTGTGTGTATATCCTTCCCTCCGAAAAAAATGGTACCATTCTTTACATATCTTGCTTTCTATCATAAACACAAGTAAGAAATAATTTCTTCTCAGTATATGCAGATATCACATTCTTAATGGATGCAGTATTTAATGATATGGATTTACATCCATATCATTCATACATCCATATTCAACTGATTATTCAACCGATCCCCTTGACGGGCATTTAGTGTCCATGAATTTGCCTGTAGACAACGCTGCAGTGAATATCCCTAACTTCATTGTGCATATATGCACGTTTTTAGTTGAATAAGTATTGCCAAAATACCTGTGAAGAGGTTCTAACAATCTACATTTCCCCCAGCAGCATAAGGTCCTAAATGAGTCCACACATAAGTTTCCAAAAGGGGCCTTAGAAAATCAGCCCCTTTCTTTCCCCAATTCCCTTTCCTACCCCACTGCAACCAGAAATTCTTGGAGGCGTCAAACCTTTTTAGACTCCAAAGAATACCAATGAAGTCACTAAAATCTTGGAGTAGGAGACTAGTTGGTGTCCCTCCTTAATTTTCATTTTCAGGAATCTTTTCTGTCTGCTAGCATGTTTTTTCCCTATATACACGGAGGATGTCTATCTCCCAGTCCCAAATAAGGAAACTGAAGAACAGAGAGGTAAAATGTCCAGCTCCCGGTCACATGGCTGGTATATGACAGAGCAAAGACCAGAATTCAGATGTAACTGAGACTCCCAAATCTACCTTCTCATTCTTAGTATCTGAAACATCCATTTTATAAAGATGACTTTTTTGTATTTCTGTATTAATTTTGTATTATTATATGTCATGTGTGGTTTTTATTTTATTTCCCTTGTGTTCTTTTTCTATATTCTGTAAACAGAAATGTTAAAACCCACCATGCTTTTCACGGTGACCAGTACAGTATAAACAGTAAAGAAAGGCTCATAGTAACAGTCACAGCAGTTTTGCTGTGGTTTATTTCAAAGCTTTAGTTGCTGGATTTTTTGCTCCCTCAGACCTAGTATTAGCTGCCTTACCCAACAGCTGAAACCACCAGTTTCAATAAAAATCAGAACAGCGGTTGCCTTTGGGGGGAGGGGTTAGGATTGACTAATGGGGCATGAGAGAATTTTCTGGGGTGATAGAAATCTTCTATGTCTCTTTTGGGGTGTCAATTTATACTAGGGTATACATTTGTCAAAAATCATTGAATTATACCCTTAAGATCTATACATTTCACTGAATGTAAATTTTTAATTCAATTTTTTAAAAATTAGCATCTTAAGCTAATGACTGCCCTGTTCAGGGAACAAAGGCACCACTTCTTAGTGTTTAGCAGGTAAGAGACAGAAATCATTTTTGAGGCCATGCAACAGGGAAAACTGGTTTTTCTGCCTGCCCTAAGAGTACAAAGCCACACTGATGCGAGAGAGGTCAAAGACAGAGAAAATTCGAAGCAGTGTGTAGTAGCTTCAAGCTTGACACCAGCTTTCCCACATCTAGGTTTATGCAGAGGAAGGAGGCAATGAAATGCTGATTGAAATTTGGAGGCACCAAGTCCTGCCTGGCATTGTGAGAGTAGCACCCCCTTTTAGGTCCCTGTGAAAAGCAGTAAAGAGGACAGCATGCTACATTTGGAGGCCCCTCAGGTCCCTGGAGGCTTCCCGGTGCTCCAGAGTTTCTGCACAGCCCAGGCAGGTCAAGGAAAAGACCACGCGGACCGATGCATCCGAAGGCTCACCATGCTCCGAGTACTTTTCTAAGTGCTTTCTGTGTATCATCGCAGTAATTCCTCTCAGAAATCCTTGTAAGTAGGTAACAATTATTATTCTCTTTTTCTTTATCAAGAAATCAAGGCCAGGATGGCTAAGAAATTTGATCAAGGATGGATAGCTAATAAGTGGTGGGACTAGGCAGTGTCTATGTAGAGCTCTTATCCTCTGACTTTTGTCTTTTTCAAAACTGTTTTTGCTCTTCTGAATCATATTAGAATCAGCTTGTTATTCTACAAAAAAAAAAAAAAAGGCTGCTGGGATTACAATTGCATCAACCCTATAAATCAATTTGAAGAGAATTAACATCATAACGAAATTGAGTCTTTGAAGCCATGAATATGTTATAATTCTCCACTTACTTAGGCATTCATTTTTATCATGATGTACATCTTTTGTTTGCATAATGATTTGTGGAATAAAGAGCTAGAACTAAGTTTATGCAACAGTTCGCAGTTAGTATTTTGGTGACTGGAGTTTCAGCCATGTTGTTGGGGGACCGGTGTCCTCTATTAAAGCTGTGGAAACTGATGCTCGTGCATGTGGAAATGGCGCAAAGTAAGGTCTACCTGTATCTTATGTAAATCTTTGAATTCTTGATCAGGTAAATCAGACATGTGTTTTCTCAGAAAAACACCCTTCAATTTTATTCTACATTTAAGATAGAAAGATATACTAACTCCTCTGTGTATTTAGAGCCATCTTCCAAAACCCAGGAATCTTTTTCCGACACCTCCAAGAAGACAATTGCTGGAGCTGAGTCTCTTTGGCTGGAATCTGGACAAAGTAAACAAAACGGGGAAAAAGAAACAATCTTGCTTAGAAATGTCATAATCATCCCCAAGCCTCTTTCCTTCTAATCCCCACACTGTGGCGAAGGGTCTTGCAGAAAAGGGTTCGTTAAATTAAAAGTCCACATAATCTCATATTGGACTCATTCAAAGTCCTCTGTAGTCACGTAACGGATCTAGGGCCAACTGTACCAACAGCTCCTACGGAGTCTCTGCGCCAGGGAACTACCAACTGAAACGGCAAGCCTCTCAGTAAGTGATTGACTTTTGGCCAATTTGTCTTCAGTATTTCTAGGGCACCGCGTTTACCCGTCTCCTCCTGTCCCTCCCTCCAGTCATCGCCTCCATCCCTTTCAGAGCTCGCAGCCGGGGCCCATGGGGTTGCCCCAGCCTTGGTTCTGCCCCTGGATTTGCCCCAACCTTGGTCCCACCTCTCTGCTTTGCATTCTCAGACTTGGCCTCTTGAGAAGGGCTATGGCACCGGCTTTCACCAGAGCGGGTGAAAATAGCAGGAAAGTCAGCCCGTTACAGCCAAACCCCCTAACCGCTGTCTCTTTAGGTCTTCGTTAATTTCTCTCTCAGAGATATCTTGCAATTTTCCATGTACAGGTCTTAGATATATTTTGTTAAATTTATCCCTTAGTATTTCACATTAATGATGCTATTGTAAATGATCTTTTTAATTTTCAATTTCTAGGTTGTGCGATGACCACTACTAATTCCATAACATCTTCATCACCCCAAAAGAAACCCTTATACCTGTTAGTAGTCACTCCCCATCCCCACCCCAGCCCCTGGCAACCACGAATCCACTTCTATCTTTATGGATCTGCCTATGAAATTAATTTTTATATGTTGACCTTATATCACGAGCACTTGCTAAAGCCTCTTACATCTAGAGGTTTTCTGTATTCCTCTGGATTTTCTAACATATATGTTCATGTTATCTGAGAGACTGAACATACAAATAGACAATGGCTGTGACACACACACACACACTGCAGCAGCCAGTCTAAGAAGCCAGCACAACCTCTGAGGCAATCAACCCAAATGGCCAGAACTTGATCAGTGACTGCTAGCTTCCCTATTTTTTTTTAATCCTGCTTCTAACTCAGGACCATCCAGGAAAAGATGAACATGCTTCCCAGACCATCACATAAGATACCCACTTCTAGTTAACACTCCTTTAGCTTCCCTGTGCCACTAGCCTCCAGTCAGAGCATGACTGGAGCTTTCCTTTTTTTTTTCATTATAAAGCTTTCCCAAACCCCTGCCTGACTTTGATTCTCTATCAAATGCAAGTGCTAGTGGCCGCCTGCTATAGAAAACGCTGAGTAAATAGCCTCTGTTGTCATTTGGGTGGTCTTCATTTATTTTGACACATCTGTGAATAAAGACAGTATTCTTTCTTCCTTTCAAATTTGTGTGCTTTTTTTAAATTTCTTTTTTTAAATTAAAATTTATTTTCTAATTATAGCTTACATTCAATATTATGTGTGCCTTTTATTTCTTTTTCTTGCCTTCTTACTCTGGATAGGACCTCAAGTAGGATGCTTTATAGAAGTGGTAAAAATAGACATCCCTACCTTGTTCCTTAGAATATCGAGGTATTTTTATGTGAAATTACTTGGTATGGTATTTAGACTTCTTTGAATACATTTAAAAGTATGGAGTAATAGTTTTCTCTTAAAATATTAATATATGCAATATTCTAGTACATGTGCAACTATTTAAACTTATGATGAAAACATTTAAAGGTCAACTAAAAATTAAGCAAGAAGGTACATAAATGTTCAAAGTTCTTTTATAAGGCAACCAGCGAAGTTTGGAGCAGGCTCCAGTGAAGGCCATCACTGAATCTGGGGGGCAGCGGTGCCCACGTTGGTGAGCAGAGGCCAACCAAGAGGACAGGGTCCGGCTGGAACCGGCAAGGTGGCGTTCGCCTTTATGCAGAATGAGGGCACACAGGCAGAAATTAAAGAGGTGCTAAAAGAAAGAAAAGCGCATTTCCTGCACACCTGAGGTTGTGACCGAATTTTAAATTCACATCGTGATTATTATAATAATGACGATGATGATTAGAAAGCTTTCTACGACAGATGCTGTGTTTTGAAAACCTCCAGCTGCTTGGGGAAAATTACAAATAAGAAAGAACCTTCCTTTAGTTGGCACAATTCCTTCTCTCCATGGGCATCACCTCACTAACC